CAATTTATACAATTCTGTTGTATAAAACGAGAAAGAGAGAAAGGCAAAAGAGAATTGGGCAGGGGAATATTTTTATTTGTATAAAGCTTTAATTTGAGTATATAATCTTTTATATAAGTGTATATTGGGAATATGTATATAAATGAAAAATAGAATTCGTTGTAGTTTATATAGTGTTATTGTGAGTTGTATAAGTATATGAAATTGTTGACTATTTTTTCCAATTTGTATATTTATACAGAGCAGGTTCGTCCTTAGTTTAGATGTATGATTCTGTATATAATAGGTATATGTATATGTCTATTATTTTAGGTTTGTCAATTGTATATTTGTATAAAGCTTTAATTTGTATATAAGTATATATTAGGAATATGTATACCAATGTTGATTCACAACGACATGGGTGTTAGAGTGTATATCTAATTTGATTTCGATCAAAAAGATCACGACTTTTTCCTTCAGAAATGAACCAGGAAGCTATATTTCCAGAATTCTCCGCGAGAATCATAGCGGCAACTCTGCAATACCGAAGGGCTTGAAATTGGAGAAGAAACAATTTAGCTAGTAGAGACTTGTACTGAGATCGGGTGAAGGAGAAAAACCTATTAATAGCAAACTGACTGAGAGATTTGCTCCTCAATGGAAATAAATGAAACTGTAGCTATTTTATTTATTTTAAATTAATAGTTTGCCATTATGTACAATTTTCCCATTGGGGGCGTTTTTTTATCTTTATTTTTTCCTTTTTGAAGATAATGATTAAAAATTCATATGGATTGAAGTATTATTTTATTTTTTTCTATTTCCTATTTGAATTATCATCAATTACATCAAAATACATCTTAATTAGTATATGATGATATCTAATATTCCTATTTGTTTATTTCTCATTTGCATCGACAAATCATTTTAAAAAACATCAAACTAAATTAGTTTAATATTCGATACACACTTTTTCAAAATCAAAAAATCAAATCAAAATTTAATAAAATTGAACCAAACTTTCACCCTTACCTATAACACATTTTCTTTTCTATTTCCTCCTAAAAATTAGCAAAAAAAAAGCATAAAATCCTCTAGAGCATTAGTCATAACTCCATTTCTAACCATCCAAAAAAACAAATTAATTCAAACATATATAGTAAACATACCATTTTGTGTCTTCTCCTTAAATATCGCTATAAACTTGAGGAACAATATTGCACGTTGAACAAGTCATTCAAAATTCGTTTTAATTGTTTGATTCATAATCTTTCATCTTTGTGTATCGTCCATTTTTTCTCTCTCCATATTCAACATTAATCAACTTATTTGGAATTGAGACGTAGTTGATCGATTTGATTGCCGTGTGTTTTTTTCACGCGGCATCAGTTCATCATCGTCCTCTTCCTCTTCCGCCGGTAAAAAAAAAACAAATATTGAACTGAGATACACCTGGAAAAAAAAAACAGGAAATAAAAAAAAATAAAGATCAACTAATTTCCGCCATTGAAATTCCTTCAAATGATCGTAAGAAGTGAAGGAATGAAAATACCATGGATGAATTTGATCAATTGCATTGTGCTAGTTGTGTTTTGTTATAGTATTGAGGTATGTAATGGTCAGGATTACGGCGGCGAGGAGGTGGTTAAGGCGGCGCCGCCGCCGGCGCAAGAGAATTGCGACGGCGTATTCGTGACGTACGCGTTTGATAATCGGGAAAGGGAATATCCTTTTGTGAAAAACGTAACGGCACAGGCATGGGCTTTTACGTCGATGTTGACGGTGATAAATACGGGTTTATTTGAGCTGAAATCATGGAAAGTTCAGGTAGGGTTTCAGCATAATGAGGTTTTGATTTCTACTGATGGAGCTGTGGCTATGGGCGGCGACGGATTTCCGGTTAAAACCGGGAAAAACGGTACCGTTTTGGCTGGGTTCCCGCAGGCTGATCTGAAAACGGCGATTGATACCGCCGGAGATTTTACGCAGATGGCGGCGCAGGTGAAGATAAAAGGGACGCAATTTGGGGTTCCGACGAAATCAACTCCAATGCCGAAGTCAATTAATCTCCTCAATGATGGATACAAATGCCCTGCTCCTAAGAAATTCAGTACGTATAATATATAGTTTCATTTACGATTTTTACAACGATCTCAAATTAATATTACAATAATAACTGAATTCACGATGCATGCATGACTATAGAGAATGCGATAAAGGGTAAATCGAGATGTTTAACGTTAAAAAGAGCTTTTAAAATATAGAAATGTGTCTTTTTATTTTTACTTGGAACGGACTAGGTGATTTGAGTTATTCGGAATCTGTGCTGGAACTATTCGAGATCAACGCAATCTGACACAAACACTGCCTATTTTTGATTACTATAATTGTGTTTGAATCTGAAAATGTTGTATTTGTTGTGAAATTTGCAGAAACTTTTATGCAGATGTGCTGCAAAAAGGATCCAAAGTTCAAGCCAAAAAATACTTCCATCAAGTTTATGGAACGTCAAAACGGAGACCTTTCGTTCACATATGATGTTCTATCCGCGTTTGAGAACAAGTATCAAGCTCAGGTCACCATCGATAACATCAGTCCATTAGGACGTCTTGATCGTTGGAATTTGACGTGGGAGTGGATGAGGAACGAGTTCATTTATAGCATGAAAGGTGCCTACACTCATAAAAAAGACCCTTCTGAATGCATTTACGGACCTCAAGGACAATACTACAAGGATTTCGATTTCAGTGTTGTCATGAGTTGCCAAAAGAAGCCAGTCATATCCGATCTGCCACCTGAAATGGAAAATAATGACAAACTTGGCAAGTTACCATTTTGTTGCAAAAATGGAGCTCTCTTGCCAACTACTATGAACGGGACTAAGGCTCGATCTATTTTCCAGATGGAAGTTTTCAAACTTCCTCCTGATATGAACAGAACTGCCCTGTATCCGCCTCAGAACTGGAAAATCGAGGGTAGAGTTAATCCGTCCTACAAATGTGGCCCGCCTATTAGAGTTGATCCAACAGGATTCCCTGATCCTAGTAAAATCGGAATTACTCTTAATGCTGTTGCTAGTTGGCAAATCACTTGCAACATTTCGCGTCCACAGCCAAAACAGGCGAAATGCTGTGTTTCTTTCTCAGCTTTCTATACTGACTCTGTTGTCCCCTGCAACACTTGTGCCTGTGGCTGTGAACAGACGTCTAAATGTGACGGGAATGCAAAGCCGTTGCCTCTCCCTGCACAAGCCCTTCTAGTCCCTTTCCAAGACAGGGAAAAATTAGCTAAAGAATGGAACAGGATCAAGCATTTAGGCGCAATGCCAAATAAACTCCCCTGTCCTGATAACTGTGGAGTTAGTATCAATTGGCACTTGGAAAGCAATTACAAAACTGGATGGACGGCTCGTATGACTCTCTTTAACTGGGGAAACGACCCGTTTGTAGACTGGTTCACAGCTGTTCAGATGAAGAAGAATATTGGTGATGGCTACGAAAACGTTTACTCATTCAATGGGACTAAGTTACCTCAACGAACCAACACAATTTTTATGCAAGGCTTGAAAGGATTGACCTATTTGGTTGGACAAGTGAATGGAACTAATCCTAATAAGGATCCAAAAGTACCTGGAAAACAACAATCAGTGATCTCATTCTTGAAGAAAAATACACCAAATGTTAACATTGAAGGTGGAGATGGATTCCCTTCTAAGGTGATTTTCAACGGTGAAGAATGCGCGCTACCACCAAATTTTCCCAAAAGTCATGCAGCATTCAAATCCCAAGTTGGTTTATTGCCTGCAGTTTTGCTTGCTCTCCTCACTTTTCTTCTGTTGACAGACCAATTCCACTGATTTCCCATCCTATCAACTGGTATACTCACATCTTCTTTTTTGTGATAAAAGTGAACTCATATACGATGTGTTTGGTATGACAGAAGTCATTTTCTCGAGAAAAAAAAATGTTTTCTGGGGTTCCATTGGATTGTAGAACATGTATTCCTATTAAAAGATTGATGATAATATTAGTAAATTAACCAGATAGCATATAGATGAAAGTTTCAAGTTTAAGTTGATAGTAAATGTTTAATGATGTGTTTGGTATGACATAAGTCATTTTCTTGGGCGCGGATTTCACAAGAGATCCACTACAAATATTTGACTCTGTACTCAGTTACTATAGCATATTAACTTGAGATCATTATAGAAATCTGTAAACGTAACGTCAAATCCTGGATCCACCTCTGATGATCCGTGCTTATTTATTGCAGGTTTCGGTTTCAAGATTTTCTCTAGAGGCAAAATGGAACTGAAGTTGGGAGTTGTAAAAGACATGATATGGAAATTACAAGACTTTGTAAACAAAGTTTTTAAGACAAGAAAAAAATAATGTATACTTGTTTGATTGATGTATCTATTTTTTTTAAGAAAAAAAACTTACAACACAAATGAAACATGAAGCTTTTTTTTTCTTTCTTGTGTAGTGGAGTTTGGTGGTGAGAGTAAGTGGATATTGTTGAATTTTTTTTTATGTTACTTCAATAGGAAGTACATAGAATGGATTATTTATAGGGTTTTAGATACACTATTTGTTCTAGTTCTTCTCACAAGGAGTACTATTTTTAATATTTCTTCAAATTTCTACTTTAGTACTCTTCTTCAAGTGATTTCTTTTGTTCATAAAATTGGGGTAAGGAAGGGGAAATAGGGGAGGGATTATAAGATGAGAAATCGAATCAGAATTGCGGATTTCTGAGTCTGAGGTTGCATATGAAATTAGAACAACCTCTCCTTCCTGATATTCAAATGAGGGTAGAGGTTCAGTTGGTTGACCAACACTATCTCGATCCTGAAAGACAAATATCTTTCACACATACATATATCATTTAATTATGGTTGATATGTAATCTCACTTAATTATTTATTATCTTATACAATATAAACATCGAATATGGGTAAATTTTTACCTTGTGTCATATTAAGAACCTCGGTAGGTGTAAACACTGCAACATACTCTGTATAATCCTATGTTATCCAAACACTTGACATCAATGACTTGCCAATTTTGAATATATATCCTTTCGTCTTCATAAAAATGAGCATGTACTAATACATATAAAACCCGCGAAATGCTAAAATAAACAATGTTAGACATGTCAAAGCAATGATTATTGATCAGCAAACAATTTTTTATGAACCTACTAAATATTAGGTCAATCAGAGTCTGTCAATCAAATATAAAAAATCAAACTTTGTCTTATCATACCCCATATGTCCATGAAAGTTATTTCATTATTTTCAACTTCAACTTAGAATGAAAGTTATTTTCATTATTTTCAAAATCTTTTTCAGAAAATTCAAGTGAAATGTATCTCCAAGACTCCAAATACAAATTCAACCTCCAAATATATTTTTCTCAACCTTTACTCTTTTTAAATATTATTTTTTTTCATTCATAGTTGAAATAAATCAAATATCCTTTTTCGACTTCAACTTAAAAAAAAACTCTTATGGAGTCTTTTGCAAATAAATAGCCATACCATCTATAGTTCTTCTAATTTGTCCAAAATACTGTACCATCATACTTTTCTATAATAATCATTTTTTATAACATCATTTTATTATAACAAACAATTTTTCTTTAATATCAATTTTTATTTTATATTTTACCTCTATTATAGCTTTATACTTACTTATAAACAACAATATCCATCATTGCAACAATACACTCTTTCTAAAATTACCTCTATAACATCCATGTCATTTCTTGGGTAATTTTTATCTAGAATAATCATATAAAATATGAATGTCAAATATTGTTATAAGTGTATAACAATCAATTACTGTTATAGAAAGACTTGTTATAGAAAGGTTCGACTATATGTGTTCTTTTTTTCTCATATATAAGTAAATAGCAGTATTATGTTAAACATGGCTCTCTAAAAGTAAAATAAATTACATGCTTTGGAAGAGCGTTTTTGTATACATCAACCCTGAAGGCACATTTTTACTACTTGGAAAAAAATTTACATGTACATGATGATAGTTCCAAATATGGAACCACAAAGAATGACAATTTACATATTTCTCTTTACTAAATCAGTATCACAGTATACAAAAGCAGCCATTGTCCCTTGACTTGGCCGAAAAATCGGAGTATCAAACTTGTTAGAGCCTTCTTGGTCTGCATAAAAAATGGTGTTCATTCATAAAGTCGGGATACATCAGAAGTGAATCCAGAATTCAGACCACAATAACAACAACATATCCAGTGAAATCCCACAAGGTGGGGTGTGGACCTTACCCCTTCCTCGTGGAGGTAGGTAGAGAGACTGTTTTCAAAAGATTCTCGACTCAACTGAATCCAAAACTCAGAGCAAGTAAAAATCAGATTGATCTTATTATATACTTAGATCCTTCATTCCAATTTATATGACATAATTTGAATCAATATGGTGTTTAAGAAAGAACTAAAGACTTTTGAAACTTGTGTTCTAAGACGTGCCATAACATTTGTGTGGATATAAAGCTTTTGAAACACGTGGCCTTAAACATGCCATAACATCTGTGTGGTTATAAAAAAAATCATTAACAAGTCTGTTGGAACGGACTAAGAAGGAAGTGTCGTATAAACTAGAGCAGAGAAAGTACATTTTATAGCCGAAAGAAATGTGTTCAGAAAGAGAGCCACAAGGTTAAAGGAAGAGGGTAACAAAGGCTACTTACATGAGCTCCATGGTTTATGAATCACCTAGCAGTTTCTTCTGGCTCGGCTACCTGTGGGTGTTCGCCGCCTGTTTTAACCAACATTAGTATTTCAAGAGGTAATAACTTCTTGCAGAATCAATCTTGCATATATTGCTAATATAATCTGTTCCGTAATATGCTAATACTAATAAATGACAGTTTCTGATATATAGACATTTGCATGCACCCGTGGTGAAGCCAAAATTTTCACGAAGGGGATTCATAATATAAAGAAGTAAATAAACGAAGAAGCTAAGGGATTTAACATATACTATAAGTACATACAAGATAATTTTGACATTTTATATATGTACAGTATAATATTTTCGCAAAGGGGAGTTCGGATGAACCCCTTGCGCCCCTTTGCTTTGCCCCTGGCCTACACCGCCTGCTATGTATTGCTTTAGAATTATTGTTGGAATGATATTTGCATGTAGTCATCAACAGGATTCAGAGATTACCTTTTTAAGATACTTCCTGTGAAGTTTCATTGCACCGGTGCAAGCCTTTTTAGCGTCCAGGTTTCCGTTAACATCATTGAGTATCTGGAAATAATAAGCAGACGATTAAAATATGAATCCATGAAGGGAAAATAATAAACCTTACCAAGAATGAGTATAAATGCAATTGTATTTAGTCCATGTCATTTCTAATTAAAATGACTACCGTTCATATGTTTTTCTTGAATTTTTAGTGTTTGAAAGTGACTTTCCATGGACTTCTTCTTGTTTCACTGAAATCAATTTAAATCCCCACCTAGATTAGTACTACAAGAAAAGATGCATGGGTATTTTCAAGATTTTCATGACACGTGATTATTGCCAACGTTGACCCTGTTGCTTATGACGTTTCCTACAAGAAGACATTAGAAAGAAGTGTCTAACTAATATCCACTGACGGTAAGGAATTTTAACACTATCAGATCACCTTTACCTGCTGTAGTAGCATGTATCCTTTAGGCAACTTGACAGTGTAAAAATTTCTTCACATTGTCAATGTATATTAGTTAAACTTCGAAATAGTACTTAAATTAAACTATGTAGTTAAAAACCTTAACAACGTCGTCCAGTCCTCTTGCTTCTGTCAGCAATTTATCACTCTTGTCTTTCAGGACACTGGCTACTAGGAAAACGGAAATAGGGAGGGGGGCTTCTGCAGCTTTGCCTGCATTTTTCATGTTTTCTCGCTCAAATTTCCCAACCTGGCGTGACTTTGCTTTTGATTTAGATTCGTCAGATTTGTCCGCAGCTAATTCAGGGTCTTCATATGTAAGAAACAAGTCTGGATCATATTCCAGCGCCCACATCATCTGTTCAAAAAAGATCAAGACGGAGCAAAGAAAATTTAGGAACAATAAGAACATGATTTGATCGTCAAATAAACAAACACTGGATAGCCAAATGGAAAAGCAATCTGAATAACAGGTCCAAACATGGAAAAGTTTTTTCAGTAGAGAAACCTTACCTCCCAAAGATATAATGAATCACAAAAAGAAAACTCTCGACGGAACAAAACCATGAGCATCCGGACAGCAAACAGGTAATCACCTCCACCTAATTTATCTGTCAATCCAAGTTCCGAAGGAATGCACTATGTTACTTTTATTCACAAGGAGATACAAGGAAGTATTTTTAAAAAAAGAGAGAGATAATGGTCAAAAACACATATGAACCATCACTTTCTTGCAAGTTTCACACCTCAACTATCATTTGTTCTCTTTTCCTACCTAAACTACCACCGGTTGTTCCATTTTCCTACATGAACTATCACAATAGATATGTGGCCTAATCTGCTTCGAGGTGTGTTTTAATACATAGTTGGTGATAGTTCAGATAGGAAAATTGTACAACTTATAGTTGGAGTGTGGAACTCGCGAACAAGCAATAGCTCAAGTGTGTTTTGACCATTAACTTAAAAAGGAAAGGAAAGAGGACATCATATTAACAACTTATACCAGAGCATCATGTCTTGATAGAAAGGAAGTTATAACTGTCTGCTTAGTGCATAGTATTTAAACATTAAAGTAAACAGAATTACCTAAGTGTTGGTGAAGTTTGGGATCAATAACTTGAGTTACTGAAGCTAGATTATTTAGCTGCGATTCTACTCCGACAGAACTCTCAGTGTACCTGAAATTTCCTCTCTTTGAAGACACAATAGTGGGTATCAGTCACAATAATTGCAAAAGTATATAACATACAGTAACACATAACTGAAGATATGGCTCAAAATATGGTGAGTGTAGTAAGAACAAAAGTTTATAACCAAAATGAAATAACAGACAGTAAATCTGCTAGACAAGAAACTTATTAGCTTATGATTGTTCCTGCTACATCATTCCGACTAATATTCTGGTCTCCAGACCTCACTGTGCACTGGGTATGTTGTTGTTGGTATCATAAATATACTCCACTTCAACTAGAAAGGGTGAAGAATTTTCCTACATGTACCATCTCATATGCAGCTTTTCTCACGATATCATAACATGAGATTATGGTTGCATGACAATCTTAACATCTCAACATCAGTTTAAATTAGGATGCCAATTAAGGTAACTCTGCTTTAACATGGAAAGCAAAACATGTGCACAAACAGGACAACTGCGGGAAGATATTAATAGCGGTTGGATGGTCATAT